CTCCCTGCTGAAGAAGCTCCTGAGTTTCCCCTTCTCAAGCCGTTCGAGTAGCTTCTTAGCGCCGGGAACTTCCATCTCCGACAGCTTCTTCAAGTACCCGACAGCTCCGTACGACACCATAAGTTTCTTGCACTTCCTGCTAGCCGACAAAGCCGCCAAACTCGAAACCGCGTACTTCTTGGCTGTGTTACTCGGGCTCGCCTCCAGCAGCTGCACAAGGCTCGACACGCTCTTCTCGTCCCTCTTGACTTCTCTGCAATTCTGTGGAACCGTGACCAGGCCCGCGACCGCCTGTGCAGCCACCTCTCTTGCGCCGCTGGATTTGGCTTCTAACATTCTGACCAGAAACGGAATGCAACCGGACTCGCCCATCAGTTTCTTGGTCTCTGTCGAAGTGGCTAGCCTGCATATTGTTGATGCAGCCGCTTGCTGCGCACCGACTGACCCAGATTTCAGGACATGGACTAAATGCGGGATAATCTTGGACATTGTTTCGGCAGAGACCGAACCAGCCAGGTTCCGTATGGTTGCAACCGCGGATTCTTGAGGAAGAGGGCCGTCGAGGTAAGCCAGAAGGGCTTGTACTCCGTTTTCTGATATGACGGCTCTTCGAAGACTCTCATTGCTTGAAGTGAGGTTCTGAAGGCATTCGGCTGCGTATTCTTTCGATCCCAACAGGATTCCGCAGTTGAGGATATCGACCATCACCTTTATGATTCCTTCCTCGGCTAGGGTTTGTCTTACCTCAGGCACTGCTGAGATGTTCTTCAGCGTGCAGGCGGCTGCAGCTTGCGAGACTGAGTCACCCATTTTGCAAATCTCGACCAGTGGTCCGACCCCTCCATGACCGACGATGGAGCGTGCGGTTTCCGATGATATAGACATTCTTTGGAGGGAAATGACTGATTTTTCTTTGGCAACCGGATTACCAGATTCAAGAAGCCTTATCAGTGGAGGCAAAGCATTTTCAGACACAAGCCAGTTCTCGCAACTGCCGGATTCTGCCAGAGAGCAGATCACAGTCACTGCCTTTTCCCGTATGCAAGGAGAAGTCGCCATTAACAGCTGCACGAGAGACGCAACATTGGTCCGACCCAACACACTTAAAACAGTCTTTTCGTCTTCCTTCATGATCTCGACGAGCTGGTCGAGGGCTTTACGCTTGGAATCCGAGCGACCAATCTGAAGACGAGCAAGCAGTTCTCTTACGCTGGACGTTTCCGGGCCGGGGACTGAAGAAGACAGAGCCAAAGTGGCATCACCAAGAACGCCGGTTTTGATAAGGAGACCGCAATCCTTCAGGTTCAAGTCCAGTTTAGCAGACAGAGAATCAAGATCGCTCTGAATCTTCAACTTGCCTTCATGTTTCTCCTTGATGCACACATTTCCAAGTTCGATGGCTTCTTTCAAGGTCGACCATACAGCCTGTAGCTGCTCTCTGCAGAGAGAGTTTCTTGAGAAGCAAGGATAGCTCGACAAGTCTGATAAGCACGACGGTGTCTGCTCCAATCTTGAAATGATCACTCTCCACCTGCTGGGAAATCCCTTCGCCTTCCTCGCCGTGGCCAGAGCAACTGGGACAAGCTCTTGCGCCTGTAATAACAGATCTTCGGCTGATGGTTCGTCAGATGCCACAGGTTCATTTCCGGTACCTTCTTCCACCATGATCCCGATTTCACCGTTCAGACCAAAGCCAATCACAGCTGTTGAACTCCGTCCCGCCACCGAATTGAGGGGGGAAAATCAAAACTTTCAGCGATTTCCAGCCGATTTAAGAGCAGACAAAACCGAAGCTGTAAGAGAAAAACCAAAACTTTAATGATGCTAAATGCTACGCAACCACAAAAGCGAAGAACCGATAAACTTGAAGATATGCCCAGATGAAGCGATCTTTGATTATTCTTCTCCAATTTTTTTTTTTCTTTCTGGAAATAGAAAAATCAAAGTGAAGAGGCAATGGAGTAGCTGTACGAGTGACTAATAAAGTGTGATATATATTTTTTTTAAATAGAGACACGGGACGAAAACAGAGGGGGCGGCATCAGTAGCTTCGAGAATCTTGCATGATCACACAAAGCTCGCTTTGCTGGAAAACAAGACCCTACCGGACAAAATTTAAAGTAATTTTTCAAATGATAAGATAGTGTATAAGTAAATTCATTATCAACCATATCAATATAATAATCTTTTAGATGAACGCACGCTCCACCGTAGAAGAGAAAGACAAGAAAGGACAAGATGCCCTGGAAAACACCAGAAAGACTAGAATACCCTTCTGAAGAAATGAACGCCGGTGATATGTATGCAGAGCCTCGCCAACTGTTGAAGACGGGATCATAAGTGGAAGCTTTCTACTTTCGAATGATAAAATCCAGTGGAATATCTCTTTTCGTATGATTGGAGCTTAAGCTTGGTTCGAGAGGAGAAAGCAATGGAGAGAGCCTTTCCTTCGAAGAGACGACGTGGGTCTCTTTCGCCAAGTTGTGTGTTGGAAATTTTCAAAGAGAGATGAACCAAACCCCACTACTCACAAGTTTGGTAAAAAATCCAAGTCCAAATATGCGAAAAACTCACTGCAAAAATCTTAACTTTCTCCTGAGATTGTGTGAAATGCAAGAAATTCGACGAGAAATAAGTGCAGAACTCGAACAAAAATCAGAGTCTTCTTCTGGATTGAAACCCAGAAAAAGTGTTCCTCAGACCAGACAACCTAAGACGAGTTTACCTGGAAATAACCCTGTTCCGGATTCTCTGTCGGAAGCGAACAGCCGATTGCGGAAGAATCAACAACACTCAGAAGGCTAACTCGGTTCTGCGATGGAGAAACGGACGGGAACCCGTAGAAAAAGCCAAAATTGAACCTTCGAATTAGAAATCGAATTCAAAATCAGAACTTTCTTCTCGAAATTCTCGCTTCTGTCTCAGAAGGAGATGTGTCAGATCATTCAGTCAGCTTTAGAGTCGCACCATTTTATCGTATCGCGAGATTCTCTGGAGTATATTTTTAAAATTTCGGTGATCGTGTGGCTATAGTTAGGTGTTGGAATAGGGAATCGGACGGCTGGGATTTGACTGAAATTTGAAATAAGGTGAAACGAGGAGCTGACGTGGCGATTATATTGCCGCACGTGTGTCGTGGCAAATTGGCTGCAGCGTCGAGTTCTTTTCCACGGAGAGACTCACGTGCGCGGAAGGAGAGATTGCCACTAAAGTTCATGAAATTTACGAGAAGACCGCCTTGCGCCGTCGACTTTTCAGGCCTCGCGTCGAGGGGGACCAAGGCGCGTGAGGCTTGTGGGCCTAACGTGCACGAAACGGCACGCAGTTGTCTGTTGGCTGCTGCTCATATTTTTATAAAACGCTAGGCTTTTTCTATTTTTCAGCTATAAATCAAATTATCATTATTAAAAGGACAATTATTATTTCTATTAATGAGCCACTCATAAGCCGTTTATAATCTCTTTTCGAATTCAAATTCCTATGACAGATATAATTACCATTTCATAATCCCATGATTCTTTATCTTTTAATATCGAGCCATTTATCATTGTGATAAGGGGCGATTATACTTTAAGCCTTATTTTTTTTTAACTAAATAAAAACAGAACCCTTAATTTTAACAGCTTTCATATGAAATCGTAACCTTTTTTCTAAAGTAAAAACAAGCCTCCTATTTGTTAATCTCATACTAAATCTTGGTCCTTTGGGTTGGGCTATGTTTAACCATAACGCTAAACAAATTTTGAAGACAAAAAAAAAATAGAAACAATATTCTACAACATTCTATTTTATCTCGAATCTTCTAATTTAATAAAAGGGTATAAATAATTTGCAGTTTGATTTAGTTGACGGTTCAGAATAGTTTAAATTCAAATGTTAGGTTTTAAATGAGATTTTTTTTTTAAAAACTTACTGTTTATTATAACTTAAATGATAAGGTTAAATTTAATATAAGAGTTTGAAAGACTAGGGTAAATTTCGCTTTTAGTAAAAAGAATCACGTTTTAAAATGCAAATGTCCTTTGTGATTAATTTATGTTATTCATAAGTGAGTGGCGTATTAAAAATTAAACTAACTCCATGCATGTGCAAAGATTTTGAGTTGGGCCAATGGGCCAGGCCTTTCTCCTTTTTTTTTTGTTAGGAAGGAAAGAAACTAATACTTATCCGTGCTAGGAGCTAAACTTACCCCTGATAAGGATAGAAAGAGCCTGTAGCCCAAACAGAGCCCAAACGTCTGGGTTTGGAACTGGATCAGCCCATTGAAAATTCGCCAGGCCTTTTACATATTTCAGGTAACCAATATTTCGACGGTGCATTTTATTTATCACTTAACATTATACAAGTTTAGATTTGTTGAAATATCATTCTTTTTTTGTGGGCAAAGCTATAAAACTTACAGAAATAATAAATTTAAATTAAGGTGACAAACGAATATAATATCAGGTTATTTGAAGATAAAGTTATGCGTCCGTTCAAAGCAAAAATTAATCGAGCCATAACCTTACGTCTTCAAACGATTATAATTAGAGAGAAAAGGGAGCAATACGACGCCGTTTTGCTGGATGAAGATTTTTTTTTCTTTTTTCTTTTTGGTTGGAAACGCAGGAGTAATTTGCACGAATCTCCTTCTCTCGTAGGTTACACGTAACGGGAGTTCCCCTCATCTCCTTTCTCCTTTTCAGATCCAAAATAATCCGTGAAGAAGAATATTCATTTGCATCGGCTCTTTCGCCAGGTTTTGATCGTCCTCTCTGTATTGCCCCCGTTTCATCTGTAGTTGCTGATCTGAAGAACCTCGCGTTGGATTGGAGAATTTCTGGGGTTCGATGTGTGTTTTGCAGTGTTCGAAGTGAACATCCCGCTTCAAATGGTGAATTCTTTGCAATATTAGAAAATGGTAAGGATTTCTAATTTCTAGATTTTCCTTTCGTGTTCGGTTGTACATGATTCCTTAGAGCTCGGGATACTAAAATGGCAATTGTCTTAGATATTTGCATTTTCTCTATTTACCACAATATGGGGTCTTTGGTAATTGCAATATGCAGGATAAATATAGGATTTGTTGTTCTTATGCTTGAATCGACCAATATGAGATTGTCGTTTCTTGTTGTTGATGCCGGAAACATAACTTGAAATGGCCAACTCACTGTCGTAGCCTGCCCTATTATCTTTTACAAGTCTGAATGCTCTGTCGGTTGATTACTACTAGTGATATGCTGCACCAATAGGTTACCGAAGTATGCTTACCTAGCCAACTAGTCATTTCATGAGTTGTGGTTTTGGTTCTCTCACATAATTTACATGGTTCCATAGGCTGCATTCTTTTTTATTGCTAAACTCTGATACTGATCTTTAGCGATGATTTCCTTGGACCAGGAGTTGGTATAATGTTTCAGGGCAAAAATGCAGCAAGATACCCACAATAATCATGACATTTGAAACATGTTTGAAAATCCAGCAACAATCCCATCTAACAGTCCCCATCTCCGGAAATCTGGTAGCAAATCTCTTTTCTCTGATCTTGGTAAGACGTAATTTCTTGGTTTCTGTTCTGGTGTCTGGTTTTATCAAGAGACACCAATTACATGCTCCACCTGTGCAAATTGTGGATTCAGATATGTTTAACAGCCAAATCCTTTAAAGCTTGTTAGTTTTCACTTGTTTATCAATATATTATTGGGCTGTCTACTGTATATGCAATATGCTTTGTTCAATTTCCTATCTTTGAGACGATATTTCTTGCATTTTCAACTATGGTCCTTCAATGTGTGATTGGATTTTATTAAGGTGTAAACGAGGTTCTGGGTAACGTATCAGAAATGGGTGACTTGAAGAGTTCTAGCTCACCTCGGCCTGTTACAATGATGGCGCCTTCCCCAATATTCTTGTGGAGATTTAAGGTTTGTTTCAGTGATAGTACTCTAGATACTATTTGTTCATAAGTTTTCTTTGAGTACATACCACTCGGAGGAAATGCTTGAATGTGATTTTCAAAAAGATTCCCTTGAACTAAAATTTCAGGTCTTTTTGTTTCTTATATGGGCTCTGTGTTGTTGCAAGGTTAGTTGTCTCGGCTTAGCTTCTTGAGGTTATCATGTCAATGTGATGTTCTCGATGTTTTGTAAGCTGCTTAATGAGCCATGGCTGATTTTATCTGTCTTATTGAATAGATCGGATGGGATTCAGTCATGAGAATGAGTGTGGAATTTCGGGATTTATTCTTTTATGAGGCATTTCTTTACTACAACCCTCTTCTTCTAGTGGTGAGCTGAGACTTTATCTTTTCTATGTCTGGACTTCTATTCCACTGCTGATTATTGTAGATCTTTACGTCATGTCGGCTTTGAATGTAACAGACAATGATGGTCTGGCTCTGGGGAGTGAACTTATGGGTTTTCTCCCAAGGAAGTGTTAATTATGCCAAAGTCTTTGAACTTGACCAGAACCATCTTACTCATAGAGAGATATGGAAGGTATTTAAGTTTGAATATGTATTAAGTTTTGTGTATTTCTTAAATTATCCACACGTCTTGATCTGCTGTAGATATGCCACAATTGGTGGTTGTGGCAGTTATCTATTACACTATAAGGCTTATCTATCTTCTGTATCTTGTTGGTGTTTCTATCTTGCGCAATTTTTCCTTGTAGTGTAGCATGTGGATGACAGTCATTGTTCCAACTAGCATGACGGCATATCTTTATCTGTATTCCCATGGAGAAGTATCATTGGCTGCTTCACAACCGGTATAGAATCTGCCTCATTAGGTTATGAAAAATATATCTACATTTAACACATGTTCTGTTCTACTTATTTCCTCTGCTACCTCTCTGCACACCAGATAAATTGTATATTTGTCTGAAGGCTTATCTGAGACTTCTTCTTTATCTGCTACAGGTGCTCCTGTACCTTGCTTTTGCTTTGGTTCTGATATTTCCATTTGATATTTTTTATTTATCAACTCGATATTTTCTGCTGAGAACATTATGGCGTATAGCTCTTCCACTGCAGGTAAACTTTTAATTACCAGTCTTTTGAAACTTGAAAAGTGTGTATCCAAGGGCATTGTTTAAATGCTGACGTTCTGCTTAATGATACATGATCTGCTTGTGCTGTGGATTTTTTTCGCAATCTTTCTTCATATTTGATTTTCAATACATAACTACATATTCTGCCGAGCAAGTTTAGCTGATCTAAGATATCTGCTTTACAGCCAATTACATTTCCAGACTTCTTTTTGGCTGATATTCTCACCTCTATGGCAAAGGTAGTCCCTGAAAACAGCTTTAGTTTTGACTCAATATGAATTGTGGGAAACTGCTTTTGTATTTCTTTTTGCACCTTAAGTTATTAAACCATCAATATTTGATTCTAATCGATGCCTGTGCATTTGCATCTCATGCAGGTTTTGTCTGACTTAGAGCGATCTGTCTGTCGGATGGTACACAGACAGGTATTTTGTCTTGATCAATCATTTCATTTACGAAATCATTGGATGAAGTATAAGGCCTTGTTTGAATTCTGCGGTCTACATTTGAAAATTTCTCATTTATGGGACCGAAAATATCCATCAACTTAGGTTACGCAGTGCTCTTTTTCTTAGAGATGCTGTTATCCCTACTGAAACTAACACTTGAAATGCATATGAACGCCTCGACTAGATGAAAAATTGAGGAGTATCTGTCGTCTCTTCAACTTTTATCCTATGTTTTAAAAAATAGAAAGGAGCAACCTCTTAGTTGGAATCAGGAGCCTCCCTTGTTCTATATTTACTAATGACATGGGACTAGTGGATCAAGCTGTAGCTACTAAAGACCATAAAAAAGCAAGGAGACCCGGATGCTCTATTAGCCTACCCTTCACCATAATTTTTGTTGGTTTTACCGGCTGGAATTTGGGTTACCTCTCTGACCCAGATTAGCCTCAGATCTTGTTGTCTGGTGAAAACATGCCGGTTTTCAGTTTAAAGTGATGGCTTTAACTTCCAGGTTGCAACGATAGCTTGGTTCGAAGCCGATTCTGTCTGTGGCAGTCATCAAATTGCAATCCCGCTGATTCTTGTTTTACCTTACATCTGTCGACTTATGCAATGTCTCCGACAATATAAAGATACAAAGGAAAAGTCAGCTCTTCTGAATGGTAAAAACCATTCTTACTTATTCTGTCTAGGAGATAGATGTTAAATCATAGGACCATCCGGACTCTCCGTGGTTTGTATAGTGTTGTTACATCTTTTGCTGTGTCTTGGCTCTGCAGCTCTGAAGTATTCAACAGCGGTGCCGGTGATTTTCCTTTCGGCCCTCAAATATCACGTTTTGCCCGAGAGTTGGACATCGTTTTACAGGCCGCTATGGCTTTTCTCGAGTGTGGTAAACTCGCTTTACTCATTCTACTGGGATGTAAACCGAGATTGGGACTTGAGGTATGTTTGAGAA